AGATGTAGTTATTCACCACCTGGGATAAGGGTCACATCTCTCAACACAGCTGTACTGTTAGTTGTTTTCAACCTGTAACTATCCAACAGACCCAACACTGAAAGGCTGACATATAGCCTTGACATGTAGCCTTGACCTCCCACAGTATCATAACCTTTTCTTGTCCATTTATCTCCAAATCACATGGACACCCTTACTCATGACATGAATGTTGCTGAAGGAAAGCAAAGAAGGCAGGAAGGATTATTTTCCACCCTTCTTCCCTAGACACACTCTTCTTCCTCAGGCACATACCGCCTGTGCAACTTCAGACCATAACCTGGTTGCTTTGGCAAGCAAGGAAAAGACCTGCTAAACCAGAGGCACCAAGGGCTATGGAGAAAGTATATTATACACTGAGTGGACAAAAGCCCTTGGCTATCATACTCCCCCACCTCTTGAAACATCAACATGAACTACTAAGTCTCACTAGAAGGATAGAACTTCTTCATCTTCCTGATATATCCAGTAGCTGTGGCTATGAAGAGGTCAATTCTAATTGTGGCAGCAAAGAAAAAAACTCAGCTAGAGAAGTTATTTTGTTGTTAGATTTATTCTCCAAAGCCTGTGGTTTAGGACAGCTGATTACCAAACCACACAATCCAGATACCTGTCTTCGGAATATCGATCATCTGCCCCTAGGAAAATTACCAGAAAAGAGATAGCTATTTGGTTCCTTCATAAAATGAGATCAAACCGTGAAGAAGACCAGCTTCCAAGTAACTGGGTATTGCTCTTGGATATGATTTCCAAATCCACAGGAATAAAACAGTAAATAATAATATAGCTTGTATCACAGCTGCTAATTATTATCTTTTCCTCCTCAGTCTTGTTCAAAGGATCAAAATAGTGCCAAGACAAATGATACTCTTCATGCTTTGAGGATTAGTAAGATCTTTGCTGTTACAGGAATACGGTCTCCCAGACCTGGAAAAGAAACATAGCAGGTAACAAAACACTACGTTCTGCACCGTCTATGAATTATTCTGTCAGTGATCGTCAAGCCAACCTTGCTATCCTAGGAAACTTTGGGATGCGATCATTGTGGTAGAGACTATTTAGAGTTTCAAGCAATGCTCATAGAGCAAATAATTCCTTGTAGGAATTCTCTGAAGTGCTTCAGAAAGCAGCTCTACACTGTTGTCAGCCCTGAGAACCATCACAGCTGAGATGCTTTTCTGTTTCATATTCTACCTTCTTGTTTGGGTCTTTCACAGAGATCCTTCTGTGACTAGTTCCCTTGCCAGGAGCAGGAGGAATTAGCTTCTGGAAAGATATGAAAATCATTGTTTTCCTGGTAGCGAGCCGTCACTGGCGTTCAGTTGAAGATCCAAACACTCACTGCATACCCACCTCCTGAACACAAAGGAAGGATTTCCATCTCTTGGTCTCAGGGATATGTCTCTGTGTATCTGTCATGCCATCTCAATAGATGTGGTCAGTGTTTGTAGGAGTTCAAAACCGCAGTCAGGATAGGCTCTTATCCTGCAGTCACATGAAGTACTTTCAGCATGGCAGCTATGATATTCAAAGATACCAGCACGCTTGCATAAAAGCAATGTTTGTGTACTCCTACCAAGATAGCTGGCTAGCAGAGGAGAGATTTTCTAAAGAAACTCTGTATGGTAGATCATACACTCTCATCTGTGGCTCCAAAAGTCACACCTCACCTTCTTTTATCAAGTAATCTATCAGAGTTGCCAGTGTGTTCAGGACCTACGTTTACCTACTTAATGGCAGATTTCAGACCCTACTTAACTTGAACTTGGAAGAGAAAAAATAAAATAAAAAAAACCCAAACTCTCCCACCAAATGCATCTTTGTGGTGTTAGTAAGCCCCCAGGTAGTTTGCTCCAGCAAACACTTCTTGGTCAAAACCATAATCATGCCTGTGTTAGTACTCTCATCCCCAGAAAGGCGTAAAGATCCTGTGTATACTTGCGGTATAGCTCTGTTTACTTCTTCACTACTGTCAAAATCTACAGCACAGAATGCTTCATTTCAGAAAGACAGTGCACCTGTACATGAGCCCCAGTCATGTGAATCACTGACACAAAAGGCCTAACTCTTTCAACTGCACAGGTGGATAATAGCGCATAAATCATGTTCTACATCAAGACATGGGTCTTCCTTCATGCCAGCAAGCAGACTGACCTGATGCCTCAGATCCTCCTCTATAAAATGCACACCTGCACACCACAGAATGGCTTGGGAGGCAATTTACATCTACTTCTGCAGATCAAATACATCCTTTCTCAAATTATTTTCTCTCAGGAATAATCCTGCGTTAAGAAATTGCTTGCTAGGTGTGCCAACAAAAGAAAAACAAAACATGCCTTTTCTGCTAGCCAAGTTAACTTTAATTACTACTGCCTCAGCTTCATCACAGATAGCTCTTCCCTGTCACAAGCTTTAAATACCTGTACCAGAAATCCCTTCTTAACAATGCTAATGATGCTAGACAGATGCAGAGCTTCAAGAGGTCCTACTTCTCCACAGTCTGTCTTATCCCAAGGACATGGATCAAAGGCCAGCTGGAGGCCAGTCACTAGTGGTGTACCCCTGGGTTCACTACTGAAGCCAGTACTGTTTAACATCTCCATTAATAATCTACATGATGGAATAGAGTGCATCCTCAGCAAGTTTAAAGGTGATACAAAACTGGGAGAAGTGGTTGATATGCTAGATGGTTGCGCTGCCATTCAGAGGGACCTCAACAGGCTGGAGAAAGAGGCCAACAGAAACCTCGTGAAGTTTGAGGGGAAGGGCAAAGTCCTGCACCTGAGGACAAATAATGCCATGCACAGCACAGACTGAGGGCCAACTAGCTGGAAAGCAGCTTTGCAGAAAAAGACCTGGGGGTCCTGATGAATAAGAAGGCAAAGAAGGCAAAAAGCCTCCTGGGCTGCATTCAGAAGAGAGCGGGCAGTGGGTCAAGAGAGGTGATCCTTCTCCTCTACTCAGCCCTGGTAAGGCCACATCCGGAGTGCTGGGCTCCCCAGTTAGAGGTATGGACCTACTGAAGCAAGTCCAGCCAAGGGCCACAAAGATGATTAAGGGACTGCAGCACCTACTATGACGAGAGGCTGAGAAAGCTGGGATGGTTTAGCCTGGAGAAGAGAAGGCGCAGGCTCAACGTGTATAAACACCTGATAGGAGGGTAAAGAATACACAGCAAGACTCTTCTCAGCGGTACCCAGTAAGGGGACTGGGTACTCCATTTAAATATAAGAATACTCCAAGAATACTCCATTTAAACATAAGAAAAAAAAATTACTGTGAGGTAAAAAAAAAATTACTGGAAGAGGTTTCCCAGAATGGTTGTGGAGTCTCCATCTTTTGAGATATCTGAAACCTGACTGGACATGGTCCTGGGCAACCTGGTCTCTCTGAGCCTGTCCTGAACAGGGTGGTTGGACTAATGACTTCCAGAGGTCCTGTCCAGCATCAATGATTATGTGAAGTAGTAAAATCCCTGTGGAGATATACTTCTCCTTTCTAGCACAGATTAACAGGCAAGATCCTCCCAGCAGTATGAAAAATTTGAACGTGGTGAGAGAATCTACAGATCTCACTAGACGCATTGCTTTGAGCTTCCCAGAAAAGAATATGTTTGCAGAGACACTGAGAATGGAAAGCTACTTGCCCTCACAGGAACTGGAGCTTGATACATGCTGTTCATACGTATACTCTGCCTCCTTTGCTCCAGAACCCTGCATACCTATTATTTCATAGTTAAGAGGAAAAGGGTGGCTGGTGTGGTATATCCTTCCATTAATGAAGGAGAGTAAGGAGTCTGCAAGACACAGATACACCCAAAAGTTATTAGTGGTCAACTTTAATATCAGTAAACAGTGCAATGTACATATGGAGAGCTATTTATTAACACGCTAATTTTGTTCAGGTGTTTCTTGTTCTTCAGTAGTAAAATAGTTTTATGTAACTTTTTATCAACTGATAAACCTCACTAATTGCATAGACAAGGGAAATGAAGGTAGTCCGTCTCTAGACCAATATGGAAGAGAGACATTTAAAACAAAAAATAACCCCCCACACCCTTTTCTTCATACTATCCTTCCATTAGTTTGCATGATAAAGAGTTTTGTATAGTCTTAGTTTCAGGTATTACTAGTTGCCAGTTGAATGTGACATGAGATGGGATTAACCAGCATATGTTCAAATGGCATACATTTAAAGCATAATCCCCCTTTTTCTTGTTTCGGATTTACCAAGAGTCTGAAAGGGCTTTTAGTTTTCCAAGTGGCCATTGTCAAAGAGGGGGAGGCCTCCTCAGCATTTGTCCAAATAAATGAATGGTCCCAAGAGTAAACGGAAAGTAAAACTAATCTCTGTAGATGCAAGGCAATCCCCTCAATTCAGAGGAACAAAACATAACACTTAGTCAAGCTATAGTCATTGTCTATAGTGATCCCATTCACTTCAGGTCTGTCAGCATCATTCCTTTCTGAAATAATCCCAGAAGCAGCCCTGATTATGCCATGTAATGCCTTTGCTTTTAGTAGCTCGTTGTCTTAACTGGCAAGATGTCTGACAGCCCACCTAGACTGGCAGTCTTATGCTGTGTAACTAGTGTATTTTGCTTAGGAGTGGAAAATTTAAATTTGTTCTTAGAATAGTGCACTTATAGTAGGCAGAGACTTTGTATCCTTTAAAGTTGTAGACATAGTATTAGCTTTAAAAATAAATTAGACAAAGGACATTAGTAGCACAAATGCATCATTTACATTCATTTTTTTCCCCGGACATTCAGTTAGAGTCCTGAGACACCCCCCAAATGCATTTCGCTGGTTATGCACCAACGCAGTAAATATTTTCACTTCACAAAGCTTCCATTTGTAGCAACTGGAATTTTAAAATCAGCTGTTTCAGGAAACTCTTGAATCCCTCAGTTTACCACAGAATGGTAACAGCTTCTGCAGTGCAGCCTCTCCTTATGGTCCAGTGAGTGACACTGACAGATCACATCCACCAGAGGCTTTGCTGAAGCCATACCAACTGCATGTGGTTTCTTGGCCCTATCTCCCGCTAAAAGTGCCAATTATTAGTTTGTGACGCAGATACTTATTTAAGGTGTTATGGTATTATAACAGACATCACCAAGGCAACTGATTTCCATTAATGTTTTTGCACTATGAGGTGAAGAGAAATCATTTCACTGGACTAAAAAAAAAAATATTAAAAATAATCAGTTTGTGCCAAAGCTGTTGATTAAGAGCTGATTGAAAAGCAATTTCCTTAAAAATTGTTACCAACAAAGTGAGGCACCTTAATTCCACAGCTTCTAGAAAAGAACACCTTTCCCACCACCACCCCAACACGCTTCACTTTAGCACAAGAATCAAATATCAGCAATTCTATTTTCAGTCGTTCTTCCTTCGACCCCTGAAGAAATTCATGAAATGGAGGGCTCCAGCAAAGTCTCCAAGGAGAACACTTAGTTTCACTGGTAGTACACTAAGGTAAGAGAGTGGGAGAAGAGGAGAAAAACAAAACAAAACCAGACATTAGAAAAGTTGTGCAGTTTTATCATAAAATCATTTCACCTGGCTAACTATTAAGAAAATATACCCTCTATTCTAGAGTACCATTGGTTCTCTTAAAATATCTATTACATTCACTTTGCAGCCTTACTTGTTAGATCATTTCCCCAACCTGGCTTGCAACAGAGTCAGAAGTCTCCCAAGGATGGGGCAAGAGAGACCAGATCTGCAGTTAGTGAGGAGCAGGCCAAAAATCAGCACAGCCCACAGCAAAATTGCACCCGGCTGAGTCAGAAAGTCATAGTTAGGCATTTCTGTCACTGTTCTGTGGTGTAAGGGTAGGAAGGACCCCTAGAAACTAAGAAGAAAACTCCAGAAGCATGCAGAACTTACTAAAAATTCATACTGTCGAGTATAGCTTACATTTTTGGTCAGAAACGTAGCTAAAATATCATTTGACAGGGAAGAACAAAAGGAGAGGGAAAGAAGAGAGCGGAGAATCTTACTTTTTCAAAGCAAATAAAAGATACAGACTGCGTGGTAGTATCAACATTTCTTGGTTCTGTCGAATAGCAGTGACTATCTTTTCAGCTACGTACTCTGGCTCTAGAATGGGAAGCAGACGTGGCCACCTGGAAGAGAAGGCATTTGTAATTACAACACAAGCTGGTTTTGATTTAAATTTTAATCAATCAAGAGTCTTCTTTTTGCATATACTCAGTTAAAGAAGAAATAAATCCTATGAAGAGAAGAACCTTCATTACATTAGCCTGAAGAGAGTAAGCAGCTACTGTCATTTTCACTTTGCATAATTTCCCACAAGGCAAACTCACACAGTCCTCCTATTAAGATACGCTAGGCTTTTATTTTGCTCCTCAGTTTTGTAATTATATTAGCATACTGAACAGAGCTATGCCACTGATTTCAGGAGCTGAAGAGAGGTTTAGAAAGCAAGGAGGACAACAGGAGCACTGGGCTTCTGTGGAGGGAAGGACTGTGGGAAAGGATGCTAATTACATTTCACGTGTCAATTTAAATGAATACCCAGGTACTAAGGGTTTTAACATTTAAGTTGCGCAATCATTGTATAGCAGTGTTAATATCCATGTGAAGCATTAAAAATAATGCAAGCAGAGCAAAGCCTAGCTTGTAAGCTCCGTAAAGGAAATATGAGCATGTGGCATGCTAGACATGCAAGTTGCATAAAAACCGCATGAAAGCCTACTCACTTGGTTTTACAGCCATCAAACATTCCTGTGTTTATGAAGTAAGGACATACAATTGTGGTTTTAATACCAGTCTTTCCCAGATCTCTCATCTCTGAGCTAATTGACTCTGCAAACCCAATTGCTGCAAATTTACTTGCACAGTAATCTGTAAAATCAGTAAAACATTAATTGCAGTTAAACATTTTCATTTACTAATTAAACCTTACTAACCAGCTTCAGTAGGTCATACCACTGATCACCTTCACAGGAGCAGTTTTTGACAGAGGAAAAAAAAAGGACAAAACTATGCTCTAATAAGAGTAAACTGAGTATCCACAGCAGCTGTGATATACAACAGCAGCACTATGACATACAAGTGATATATACATGGTAGCTGCACATAATTACCATCTGGTAATAAAGTACTTTACAACAGAGTAAGGACCATTTTCATAGTTAGAACTATACCTTTGATGTGGTTTGTTCTTTTACTTTCCCTCTCTTAAGTTAATTGTTATTACATATTGGCAGACAGAGTTTCTCTTCACGTCCCTGCTATCACCTTTCCACTCTCTACTGAACAATAGCAGATGAAATAATCTTTTCATATTGGACTTTACCTTTGAATCCACGCACTAGTTTCTTATTTACTGCATCAAACTCAAGCTTTCAAGGCTCTCCGGTTTCAACTTGCAACTCTGTTTGTCTTCATTATCACTGCCTTGAAGATAATAAAGCTATATTTCTTTCATTGCTGCACTACCTTATTTCATTCTGCTCCCCCTTTGCACACGTTTTCCTAGAATTTTTTCCTCAGTTTGTCCTAACCTCAACACTTTTTCTGTCACTGTATGGATTCTCTTGAATGCATGGACAAGAGCCAGAGGATGTAAAACAAGCTGCCACACATCTGCCACTGTACAACATCTACATTTTAGTATTTATTTCAGTTAGGGGAGCTTGTAAAGGTCCTTGCTTAATTTGAGAACACGCTTGCAAAAAAAAAGAAAACAATCTCTTCCCTACCAGATACCTGCAGGTTAACTTTACAGTGCTGAAGTTTCCAGTTTCTAAATTTCTATATGAAGCTCCTAGATCCTCTAACTACCTTAGCAGAATAGCCTGTTTCATTGGAGTGATGAGCATCTGCAATCATATTTTAAAAAGGAGTGATCTATTTAAGTTAAGCAATTTGAAAGTATGACCATTTCCTTTACCTATATACAAGGATCCAGAAACTCAAAATTGGAGGGCGGGGGGGGGCAGAGGGGGCTGGTGAGCGTAATTTGCTGAGTTTAAAGCAGACAAGTTGTCTGAACGAGCATTAGCTTTAATACACTAACCTGCAAGACGATTGACCCCAATGAGTCCTGCCGAACTTGCAATACTAACCAGGTGTCCATGGTTAGAGGCCATCATTGCTGGGAGGAAGGCTTTATAAGTCTGCAGTGTAAGTCAGAGTTGCAATGAAACATTTTGCTCAAAAAGCTACATGTTCTAATATTTTCAAGATATTTTAGAAGGAACTCTGCTTGCAATTTAAGATTTGTTTCCCTATCAGACAAGAAAGGAGAAAACAAACAAACAGGACTTTGTTGTTTCAACTATCATCTGCTAAGCTGGGACTTTTAAGGCCCCACCAACAGCAGTTTATCCTTATCACCACAGACAGATGCTAACTTGCAGAAAGTTAAAGATACAGTTTCTGCTAGCTGTTAAATTTCTTTCACCCCAAAGCTCAGAACTACAATGTTTCAAATAGGAATTAAATAGCAAAGAGGAAAATCTGAATTTCCTCTCTTTCTCCTAATAATTTAATCTTCTTGATTAAGTTTATTTATCAACCTGAAGCGTGTCTTTAACATCCCCTTTGCAATTCTTTATAATACAAACATAACATAGATGACCCATCTTCTCTGAAATGGGGAAAAAGCACATTAAGTTACTCATTTTAGACCAAGTTCCACTTCAATTAGTATAAGAGCCTTGTCTGAACATGTGACATTTCTTACTGAAACTATCATAACCATCAGGGAACTGGAACAAAGACAGAATTGACATTTCTCTTACGAGAGCAGCAACTTCTAGGCTAGGCCTGCATGATACTAATACCAAGGAATATACCATACTACTAACTACAGAATTTAGCAGTATGTAAACCTCAATTGTCAAAAGCATTTCTAAATACTAAACAGTTTTGCTTCCACCTACCTACTACCCAGAAGTTCCCAAAGGATCCATTCTTCCACCCTTTTTTATTTCAGGGACTCCCAGGCATGGAAAATAGTTTTTTGTATCAGTTCTGACTGAGCTTATAAGGTGCTATATACCCTTCCATATTCTCAATTCCAAAAGGCAAAATTAACCCTGAAAACACGTTAAAAGGGTAAACGATAAATAAGCATGTATAAGTAAATGTAGTACCCAAAAGTGTGCCATTATGTTCACCTCCATGGTTTTTTCCACAAGCGAATCTGGACAATCAATAAACCTCTTTCCAGTTACAATACCAGCATTGTTGATTAGGATGCTAACATCGCCTACTTCTTTTTTAACCTAAAACAAAAAGCCACAAGATGTCATGCACCAAATATAAAACACACTTTCCAAATGGTTTAAATGATAATAAAAGAAATTGAAATATTTCAATTAATTTCAATTAAGGTTTCAATTAAGTTAAACTTTTATTAGACTTGTTATGGATCCAAATACTCCTGGTTCTCACGCATTCTCTCCTGACGTCTCTTTTTAGAGCTAAGCTTAGACCTGGACATTTTTGGCAGTGCGGAGCCCAACAATTCCACAGCTCCAAGTAAGCTTCTGGTTCAGCACCTCTGGTTCTTGCTATGACTGTTCCATATAAGTCTCTATTCCAGCGAGTTTGTCTAATGTAAGAAGTATTGTGCTACAGTAAACTCATTTTAAAAGCAGTGAGCCATTCTGTACTTAGGATTATTTCTATGTCATGCTGTGAAGCACAGCACAGGGATCCTCAAGCTAGTTCCAGCAGAAGCACATACCTCAAATCTATGCAAGGGCTGCAGTATCTAGCTACACTACACTCCATCCTCTTACAATTTCCACACAGTCCCTTGGATCAAAAAGCAGTGCAACAATACAACCTCTGGACTACAGCCAGCTTGCACAGCACTTGAGCCTTCTGATGAGCAGAAGGAAAACTGGATTCCCTTTTAGTAGCACTGACTGCTTGTGTCCAAAAGCCTGGGAAATCATCTCTCCCACTGCACGGGGCAGCAGCTACTCAATGGCATCTTAATAGTTCAGATATTTCAAGATGCTTTGTGCTGTTTTCCACTTGTTCTACTTCTCTTGACTACAGTCTTTAAATATTAACATGTATTACATAGTGGTCCTTCATAAAATAATTTCTTCTTACAACCTTTTTCTTTATTCAGGTATCTTGATTACTGCAAGCAGCTTTACAGGTCAGGAACTTTTAAAAAGGTCTCTTACCGAGTCAAAGTTCTTATGCAAGTTTATCTTTCATGAAGACTTCTTGAAAAAAACCACCATAGCTCCATTTATGTTAGCTCTCAAGACAACACAAGAAGTGAGGACCCCCCCCCCCCCGCCCCCGCCAAAACAATGTTGGTTTAAGGCATCTTTTCCAAGCACATGCACTATTACCTGTTTGTTTCCACATATGTATTTTTGCTTTGTGAACAGAAGTTTGCTAGTGAGTAATTACCATGATTCCCAAACAGCTCCCCACGGTGTCTACTGCCAAAGAACCAAGACAACGTTTCCCTCTCTTCCCCTTCCATAACTGTCTGCAAGAGGTAGAAACAAATCCTGCATGAAATATCACTGGGAAACATATTTCTGCTGTGCACAGGGACGATAGTAAGGAGAGTTCATAGAAAAGTGGAAAACTGGTTGCAAACTGACACCTTGAATAACCAACAAGCAAAATCAGCGCATAAGCAAACCAGTAAAGCGCAAGAGAGCTCCTGGCAGTAAAACGTGAGCCCAGATGCAATTCTGCAACTTGACAAGGAGGAAAAGGCTTCTGTTTCCTCCCAAGCGGGAGATCAAAAATGATGAAGAGTTGCCTTCCTCTTTCAGAGTCCTCGAGCCTGAAAATTATTCCAGGGAGGGAGCAGTGGGCTGGGAGAAGGCTGCATTCCTTTTGGGGGTGGGGTGCTACTGGAAGGGGGACATTATAAATAAGCTTTAAGGTATAGCTTTTAATAGCCATAAGCTTTCCTTCATGCTGTTGGTATAGGAAAGGAACAAAGACACTACATGGCCAGGGCTTTTGTGTTTTCTTCTTACTGAAATAACTGTTTTTCTAGTCCCTGAGTGTTAAGGGATCATATCCTCTGTGTGGCTGGTGAAGTACCAAAAGCAGGTATTTCTAAGTTCACGTTCATTTCATTTTGGCTGTAGGACTGTTTTGCTGGGCACAAGGTTTTCAACAATATCCTGTCCTGCCTGTGTGAATTTAGTTCACTACAGCCTTGCAGAAAGTCATTGTGTACAGCTGAATCACAGAAAAAACCCTCAAACTGCGCTGCCTCATCTTGCAAAGGCAGAGTCAGCACACTACGAACCAAAATCTACTATGCTATGCTAAAACAATGCCATCAGGCACTAGCTAATGTTAAGGTCTTATTGTCACTAGTAAGATGGGGAAGGTGTCAGTTGATTCTGCATCAGTTGTTAGCAGGACATGACATTTCTGAAATAGTAGTTGGCCATTTTCTTCTACATAGATTGTGCACAGAATTGATTTATTAGCGGATTTTCCCAGTGACTGCTGACAGAATAGTTTAAGTCAGGACGCCTGCACTGACCAGTTACAGACCTTCTTGCCACTGCCTCACTCCAGTCTCCCAGTCACTCCAGTTTTTATCATCCCTAACCCCTATCACATGCACATCCACATCCTCTTTTCCCTTTTATGTTTATTTAATTAAAGTTTTTTTCTTCGCCTTCTCCATGAGACCGAATTGCAAGCCCTGGAGTCCTCAAAACTGAAGGTTAGTTTCCATCTGCCTCAGCCCTTCACACTATCGCTCTTCCTTCTCCCAGGTCAGCAG